GCCCGCCTTCTTCCATCCTTTGGCAATTGATATCCTGCCTTCAGAGGAAGAGAGATGATTAAACATGCTCACAAGCCATGTTGCGTGAATTGGTTTTAAAACTGAGAGGCGCATGTCAACATCAACATCATCGAGAGCCACCCCTGAATCCAGGTGAGTGTGAATTTGTGCCGAGTACCAAGCCGTAAATTGGTCTTTCATGAACTTCTTTGCTTCTCTGTTGACAGTCAAATCAAGGGGTTGGAAGAAATGGGTCATATTTGCTGGCACACTAACCACTTCAATGTTCATTGCTGCCAGTTTAGATAAAACCTTGGCTGTCTTCTGGCCTTTAAATACGTCCCAAATCAACAATGCCTTCTGTGTGGCTGGCAAATTCAGTTCTTTTTGCTTTAGGACAACGTATGGTTGAATGATGTTGTCGAGTAGATTGAGAGTTTCCAGTTCGTTCGAGTAGTGTTTGGGATTCTGCGTTACTACGAACCCGCGTGGAAAGTCAAAGCCTCTCGGTTGACTTGCTTTGGTCTTCCCTTGATAAATTATTTGCATAGGCAGGAAGTCGCCGTTTAAAGAGATAACAAATGTGAGAGTAATGTTTCTTTTGTCTGTAAGACCTTTGATTGGCACAGAAGAGGAATTGCGGGCTGCCATTGTCGTTTTTCCAACGGAGACGTACGATGAAGGTGTCTGATCGGCGTTAAGAACAAGCTGCAGAGGAATACTGTGCACTGCAATGCAACTCTTGATGTCAGTTAAAAATGTTAATTTGCACTCTTCATAGATCCCTAAAGGAACGGGGGGTCTTGTTGTGGTTCCAGCTCGCCTGGAGAAGTTACACCGTCGATAAATTGATTTCACCCAGGTCGAGGTTGGCTCAAATCCCCTGAAGTCTTTCGCGGGATTGCTCTTTATTAATGCCAAGGCTGAGGCTTTGACAACATTGAAATTAACAACACCACCTCTGTTTCGTATGCTCTTCAAAAGTAATATCAGTTTCTGGTCAAGATCAAGAAGGAGCGGCAGGCGGCCTCAGGTGTCGTGTGGAATAGAAGTCACGCTTTCTTGTATTCCTTGTCTCTTCATTTCCTTCAGTTTCTTCTGATATGCTTGTTTGAAGGTTCTCACCGTACTCTCTTTAAGGTTTGGTAGCTGTGCTTTAAAGTGATTCAGGGCTCTTAGATTTCTGTTTTCGCTAGCATATTTACCGATTTGTGCACGCAATTCGGGAGAGTAATGGTTGTAATTTCCTCGCTTTCTTTTCGATGACAAGTTCTTGTTAGGATCTACAGCGTCTCCCACCGACAATACAACTTCATTGTATTCCTCGCTTCAGAGATCAGTAGCCTCCTGCTCCGGTAAAAAGGCGCATGCACCAGCATTTGCAGGTTGAGAGTGTGCAGCAGAGTTTTGGGAATTTACTGTTTCTTTAACAGTAAACCCAAACTGAAATAAAGACATGATAAATACTCAAGCGACTCTCAAGATTAGCGAGGCTACAACAACTGAAGTACAAAGGTCAATTACATTTGACAGATTGACAGGTTTGATGCTTGCGTCAGTCAGAACTTTATCTTTGCACGTGTTTTCGTCGTTCAGTCAGTGTTGTACGAGGTACTTGCCAAAATATTCCGGTATTTTCTACACTGTCAACACGTGGTTTGCAAGGATTTCATGTCTACCAAGATATCTGGAAACCAGTAATTGGAGAAACCTTGCATTGCATCCATGAAAGAAACAATATTCATGATCGTTATGCGATAGCAGCAACCAAGCGACTTCCAGGACGGTTAGCTGATTCAATTGTGGGTCATTTACCAAGAGAGATTTCGAGATGCACTCGTTTTCTCATTTCATGAGGCGGGAACGTCAAAGTGACGGTAATAGATTCCAAGCATCGACGATCACCACTCGTACAGGGTGGCCTTGAAATCCCTGTCACTGTTTGCATCGAACTCGACTCCACCTCCAAAAATATTTTAGTGTTGGAACGTTACAAGAAACTTGTGAATGAGAACTACAAGGAGCCAATTAATGGCAATTTTGACGACTGTACGAAAGACATCCTAAGGGATTTGTACGAATCTAGCGATTCAGATGAAGATGACACCAGTAGCGTAGATTAACTTCTCCATGCAAAACATTTAACGATTTCACAAATTCAAAAATGGAATTTACGAGTAGAAACCAGTTAATATTTTGCGTTTTGTTGATAAATATCCTGTAAATTTTGTTGCCATTAGGAATAAATCATTTTTTTCTACAATTTGATTTTTTTGTATGGGTATTAAATTTCGCGAGGATTTTTTTTCGCGGGTCTTTAATTTCACGATTTTTTTACAATCGCGAAAAACGCGAAATTAAAGACCCGCGAAATTAAGTACCAATAAGGTACATGCGACTGCAGAGGTGCACTGGAATTCTCGTCTACAAATGGTTATGCACAGTCCGAAGCGTTTCCGAGCTTGGAAAGGGGGTGGAGAGAATGAAGATACAAGGTTGTCATTTTATACTACAAGTAAAATTTTATATCAGACCTACAAGGTATGGAACAATTTCGTTTATCGCTGACACAGAGAAGAACCACCGAGAAGAACAACAAGTAAACTTTAGAGCTGTAATTATTGAACTGTGACTTACACTTTTCCTTTGAAAGTAGAACTTGTATTTTGCACCAAAAATATAAAGTAATATTTTTTAGGAGGTCCAGTCATTTGGACATTTAAGAAATTAAGTTACTTCTCACTACTAACAAGTCTTGTTTTAAAAATATTTTCAGATCAGAGTTTCAAATGAAGCAAATTGAAGAAGTCATTTAAAAGGTGTATTTTCGCGAAGGGAACAGTAACCACATCTGTCTTGTCCGCATGCCAAATATTTGCGGATTGTATGGATGATCCATAAGTATTGGAACTCTCACAAAAATGTTTTGTGAGAATAAAAACGGCAAAACAATATTTTCGTAGGTGGGATATGTAAATCCTGACTAGGATCCCGGGTAGAATGCATAAGTCCCGTCTAAACTCCTGGGTGGGATGCAGAAATCCCACCTAAGATCCCAAGTGGGGTGCAAAAATCCCGCTTTAAATGTGGGATCCCAGGTGGGATCAAATTTTCATCCCAGGTGGGAAAGGTGGGATCCCACCATTCCCACTTGGGATCCTGGGTAGGATTGCCGGGATCCCACCTATATCCCGCCTGACATTTTACCTGGCTTTAACTGTTTTATCTTTTGAGTTAACCGGTTCAAAGACAAGTTGTGTTTTGTCTGAAAGTTCAATGGGGTATTTAAAGCAACACTGCCATTCAGAATTTTCATTCTTTCGCTTCAAACATTAGTTGGTGCTACATCGTGTATGACGCTGTAATGTGTCTAAAATATCTATGTAATCATCATCTAACTCAGTGTTTGGAATATCTTTGAAACTTCTTTCACATGGATGTAGTTCAGGTTTGCTCCAACCTCCTTCATCTGGAGGCTTAGGGTTGTCAGTGGAGATAAATGAATCAACATACTCCCAAATTTTTCGCACTAGCTTCAATGTCATGTAATAATTGAGGATCACCAGCATTACCATTCAATTTTCAAGCTAAATATCTCTTCAAATTTATTTCAGTAAGATTACACAGACCTGGATCAGTCTCTAGTTTGGCAGTCCCATGACAGTGTATACTTCCTCTAGCTTGATATTCATATCTATACCAATGCCATTCAGCCTTAAGTGTGTCATAAAGCCAGTGTTTAATAGAGCTTTCCAAGTGTTTAGTAAACATCCAATGAACAATGTGTGGATTGTTTATAATTATCCGCCTCCTATCATTATTATTCAATTTATCCGATGGGTTTTGAAAGAGTGAATGTAATTCAGGCCAATGCATGTCAGCTGCTGAAAATGTAAAAAATATTGTAGGAACACCCTTGTTATCAATGATTGCCTTCAAATCTTCTCTAATCTTATGCCAATATGCTGCACTACCAGTAATATTGCTTACATAACGAGATAGTTTGGACATGAAACCTGAAGAAGTATTATTGGTAACCATATCACGCAACTCTTCAATGGTGAAATGTGATTTGTCAGGATTTTGTTTCAGAAAAATACTACTTTGCTGCATGGTACATTGTCTTTTAATCATATTTAAAGCCCAGTAAGAAAATCTGGGGTGACAAGCAAATCTATAAATCCAACTGCCATCAACATTCTCTGCAAACTTCATGAGATGTTGTATTCTATTATCTAAGGGGACATCGCTCAATAGACAAGGATTGATAGGGTCACCCTTACCATCAGGAAAAAGGGCTGGAAATACCATTGTTGCAAGAAAGTGCAAAAAACTTTCAACTGATGGCCAGTGTACATGCCCTGCATTTAATTCAGCTTGAATTGCATTTATTCGAGTTGATTATTGTCAGTTTGAGGTAAAAACTATTCTTGTCTATATTGCTATCAGAAAATATCTCAATCATCAATAACTTCCTTGCTGCCATACAGAACTTCACTTTCAACAGTGTTTATATGTTCAGTCTCAATTGTTTGTATTGTAACTGGAATACCGTTTTCTGGCAGAGAATCAAATATCTTTGAGTTGATTTTAAGATTTTTATATCGAGAATTATTTTCCATCAACCATTTTAAAGCAGTTTCAACCTTAGATTTCCTGACATAAACGTCCTTGAAAAGTATTTTCTTGTCCTTTCATAGTTACACAAATGTAATTGGCTTGGACACCGAGGCAATGCAGCTGCTATCTCTTTAACATTTTGAGGTAAATTAATGCAGTGTCCAGAATAACCCCTTTGACCTCCTGGCTTAACATAAACTCTCATAATGGGAATAATGGAGGCAATTAACATTCTTCTGTTTGAGTTAACCTTGCAGCTCAAGGGGAACTTTAGAAGGAATCATAAAATGTTCAGCGGAAAACTTTTTAGGGTTTTCCTTGTCCCTGACACGCCTATTACAAATGTATGTTGACAGTGATTTTGGTTTAGTTTTCAAAGGCTAAGTCTCGAGACAAACAATGCTCTGAACAATATTGAACTGTATTGATTTATGGAATTGATGCATGTTTTTCTTTACTACTTTATCTGCTATTTCTGGCAAAGTCTCCTTCTTGCAATTCGTTATTGGTGCATTATTTCTAACTAAATGACTATTTTCCTTTGGTGAAAACTTGACTTTTGCTCTTTTTACATAATGAAGTTCAGGTTGGGCTTAATTATCACTCTGCTTACACTTCAATGTTTGGCATTTACCAATGGTAGCACTTTGAACTTCACCAACATCAATTACAGCATCATAGTGAACTCTATGAACATGCTCAATGTAAATCGCACAATCATTTTCTGGAGAAGAGCCAGTTAACATTTTAACTGAAAAAAGGTGCCATTGATAAGTATTATTGGTAATAGTATACACAAATATATCTGTGCTAAGTAAACATGCAGCAGCAAAGATTTCGATACAAGTTTCCCATGTACCAGGAATTCTCATCTGACTGTTTTCTAAATAGTCATGTATAGAGCAATGTAAATGTGGTTTCAAATGATGTTCTATTGTTTTCATGTGCTCTATAATTTTAGACCTACTACAGTTGTGATACGCTTCTGTTCCAGTTAACATATGGTAAAGCATGAGATAAACAGTTCTCATCTCCTACTATACTACACTTTTCTAATGGCTGACCAAGAATTTTAGTTTCTTTTGTCTGATGCTGAATTATTAATGGCAGATTGGCTTTAGAGCATAACAATTTCTGTGAATAAACAGTTACAGGGATAAAAGAATATGTGGTTCCAAGAGATTTTCTTAAACTGGCAGGTTTGTCATTTTCTTAATGAGCTTGAGCTAGCTTTTGCACATTTGGATTTTCAACATCGATTACAACATCATAGTGAACTCTATCAACATGCTCAATATAGATCGTACAATCATTTTCTGGAGAAGAGCCATTTAACATTTTAACTGAAAAAAGGTGCCATCGATAAGCATTTTTGATATTAGTATACACAATAATTATTATATCTATGCTTAGTAAAGATGCAGCAGCAAAGATCTCAATATCAGTTCCCCGTGTGCCAGGAATGGTCATCCGACTGTTTTCTAAATAGTCATGTAGAGAGCAAGTTAAATGTGGTATCAAATGATGTTCTATTGTTTTCATGTGCTCTATAATTTTAGACCTAACACTGTTGTGATATATCTGTCTTCTAGTTATAACATACGATAAAGCATGACGTAAACAGTTCAAATCCAAATCAAAACAAAAAATGTGAAGAAATAACAATTAGAATAGAGACTATTCCAATGAAATAGCGGAGAAGCACAAAGAAGGAAAGATTGCTGTTAATAATTAAAAATTATTTGAAGTAATATATTTTTTTAAATACCTCATCTAGGTACCAAGTTGTTAATGGACACTTAGTAGTTTTGTCAACATGCAGATTTCAAAAAATGATCTAGTATCTGAGCACCAGGTCGAGCATCATTAAAGCGTCAATGTATATCAGTATAACTGAAAATGTATATCAGTATAACAAAAAATCAAAACAAATGAGAATCAGGATATTAAAAGACCATTCCAAAAGAATAGCAAGGACGTGCAAAAGATTCAATAATTCAAGTTAAAATAAAGTGCAAGTGAGCTTGTTGATACTCACACTTCTCAATCCATAGTAATCTCACTAAATAAAGGCCATCAAACATATTTAATCGTTTTTTCTAAATGATCTTACATCAATAGTAAGAAATCATAAACAAAACTGTTTAACTTACCAATGTGGTTGGAGTCACAAGGAAGAATAGCCAAGAATGGAATTGAAGAACACCGGGGAACTTTTATATCATCAAAGCAGCAATGCATATCAGTATAACTAAAAATCAAGACGAAAAATGCCAACAAATGAGAATCAGGATAAAGACCATTCCAAAAGAATAGCAAGGACGTATGAAGGAAAGATAGCATTCAATAATTCAAGGTAAACTGAAGTGCAAGTGAGTGCGTTGAAGGTCTTGAAGAAAGATTTGTCGATACTCACACTTCACAATCCGTGGTTAATTGTTTTTTTTAGAAAATGATCGTAACTCAATAGTAAGCAATCAAAAAAAAAACTGTTTAACCCACAAATGCTGTCAGAGTCACGAGGCATTTACGAACACCAGGGAACTTTGAATTAAATCATCAAACTGACAATGTCAAAGTGGTTAGAGTTACAAGGAAAAGGGAAGAGCACCAGGGAACTTCGAGTTATATACTGGCACAAGGAAGGGGCGCAAGGAATGGTGGTAAAGAAAATGCGGCGCATCCTGGGTAAAAATCGAGATTTTTTGCCTATATTAGAGTTGCTGCCTTGCTTCACTCGCTCCAGGCTTGCTCTGCTGCGGCAGGAATTATTGATACAGTTACATACAATAAGAGCTGATGATCTGATGATCCTCACTAACTCGAACATCGCACTGACTCAAACAAATTTCCTTTTGCCATTCAAGTCATTTTCCACACAATTTTACTAATGATAACTCGAACTTCCAATAACTCAAACCTTTTGCTAATTTCCCTAGGGGGCTCGAGTTATCAGGGGTGGAGTGTAGAACTGAGGTTTAGGTAAATTGCCTGCACCAGCTAGTATAATGTGGTCAATGTATATACTAAATGTTCTATTCTTTTTACACATTGGTTACAGACCTAGAGCATTATGTTGCCAGTAATCCTGAGTTATGTTGAAAATCAATCGACAGAAAAAAATGAAGATACTTATGATTCAAACAACCTGTTTCAACCAAATCAAATGTTAACTGTAATGAAGGTAAATGAACTGGCACTTCTAATAGTCTTATTACATGCTGGGAAATGTGAGTGTCCAATTGATACCCACTCTTTGAAAATCAAATGTAAACTTTAATTAAGGTAACTAAACTGGTGCATCTTAGGATCTCCCGACTGGTACGTTGAGGTGGCTGCATAGTTTCAACAACCGCCTAGCTGAAATCTCCTTGCTGTTGAAGTCTTCTCAGTGTTTGAAGACACGTTCCTGGAGTCGCCGGTGTTTTTCGCTGGATCCTGGACAGCTTCTTGTTGAAGACCAGTCAGATTTGGATGGACATGAGGCATGACTCTTGATGTAACAACTCCACTAACAGGTAGAACAGAAGGTGTACCTGGTTGCCTGATCTTCTGTGTAAGCTGTGTTACCACCCCTTGATGCCATTATTTGTCCTGATAGGGAGTATAAAGATGGACCAGCAGCTAAAGGGCCAGGCAGAACTGTTAACCTACATGTCACTGATATACTGTATGAAATCCTGAAGGCGGGAAGTAGTGGTCTGGACATGGAGTCTTTCAAACATTGGTGCGATGTCTGATTTGGGCAAAAAGGGCAGGGCCATCAACTTTCTCATATGCTTGTAGGTGCTGCTGTCTGTACGGTATGCTGGCTCTAGTCCAAGCTCTTGTGCCTATAATATGTCTTCAAGATCTTATTCTCATCGTACAAAAGCTTATTCTCATCTTTCAAAGCCTTTCTTTCCTCCTTTGAGCTCTTCATCATCTCTAGCAATTCTTCATACTTCGCATTCACAAATTCGAGAAAACTCATCGCTTCTTTAACTGATTTTTTTTAACTCAGAAATTGTGGAGCTAAGTGGATTGAGTTTTTCGTCCAAAATTTTGGTAAGTTGGTCGCAATTAATAGCCGGCATACTGGTAGATACTCACAATATTAAACAGATACAATATATCACACGCTACAGAGCACTATACTCAAATTGACTATACCTGTAAACATACAATCAGTAAAAAGTAAATAAAACGTGTCCAAGCAATACGTAAACTAAAAACAGAAAAACAAGACGGAAATTATAACGTACCCATGTTGCAGGTACGATGGTTCCATAGATTACAGTCATCGCACTGAAGGGCTTCTTGTCTTGGTCTAACTATCTCTTTGCAAATAATGCAGTGGACAGACATCTTAAATAGCGTTGTATTGAATTCTGAATTTTGATTTGTTAAGGAAGAGCGAGATTGCGATGAAATGATCAGGTGGAGAAACTGAAATGTGTAGGGTCTTTTATACTGTACTACAACTTTTGTTTTAAAACTGAATTCTGAATGGTTACGAACTGTCTACTGAGGAAACAGGTAAGTGAAGTGTTCTAAATTTTAATATGAATGGCTTTTCAATTTTTAAAAAATCGCACCTCACGAACAACACTAATTACTCCCTTCAGCTTTATTGTCTTGAAAAGTCACAAGTTTACGCTACAAATTGAATAGAATAAAACTTTATTGAAAAGACTTTTCAACAACCAAACATTTCTCTTAATCGTTTGTTACCTTTACTCTTATGACTAACAGTCTGATCTGACGGAGTGTTATTTATTTAACTCAATTTCGTGTATGTTTTGTGAGCACTTCAACGTTAAAGTTTTTTTGGTGCATATTAAAGCGCGAGGTGGATTTTTTTGCGTTTGTGTGTATGCTTTAAGTGTTTGTTATGTTAACTCTTATGATAATTTTATTATTAGTTGTATAGCCCTATTTACATGTACAGATCAATAGTGAAATGACAAATTGATCTGATCGAGTGTTTTCTATTTGAGCACTTCAATGTTAAGGTTTTTGTCAGATATCAGGAACAACTGAAACTTAGTTAAGACGTCACCTCTTAGCATTCATCGAACTTGTAAATGTGCAGTTGTAAGTATGAATTACCATTTAGAATCAATAGATTTTTAGATCCTTAAACATGCATGAGTCTCGCAAGACTTTACACGTTACATCTTAAAATTTACATTTGAAGGACAAATTAATGAATCATGGATCAGCTTTGCCGTTCTACTCGATAGAGCTTGATGAAGGGAATGACAAAAGATCGACTTTGATTCACGTGTGGAACTTTAAAATAAGAAGTGCTTTGTTAACTGTTTGTCATAGCTTAAAGCTTTTATCCATGGTAAGTGTGATTGTTTATAGTCATTTATAGCTGGTGGCGACTCAACCTCTTGGTGGCGAGATGGTTGGTGGTGTGTCAACTTCTTGGTGGCAACTAAGTTGGTAGCAAGATGACTTGGTGGCGAGGTGACCAGATACCCTGTAAAGAGTCATCATGTCAATCAGTCAGATTTTTTTAAGAAAACTTGGCTTTCTAGACAAGATCTTTTGTAGAAAACAACTCTTTTTATTCCCAACAAAGTTTATGAGGATCTCAAGGCAAATAAAGCAAGGTGAACATCACCAGTGACCAAAAAAGCTTTCGACACAAACGAGTTATTTTGTGACAACAACGCTGTAAAGACTCATCATGTCAATTGCTCAGATTTTTTAAAAATACTTGGCTTTCTAGACAAGATCTTAAAACGAAAGCAATTTTTTTAAATTTCCGACAAAAATTTGTAAGGATCTCAAGGTGAATAAAACAAGGTGAACATCGCCAATTACCAAAAAAGCTTTAGGCACAAACGAGTTATTATGTGACAACCATAGCAACCACGCGGAACCACATGATTTCTTAACTTCAAAGAATGATTTATTCATGGTCAAGAAAGTTTGATTGATGATAAGATTTGATGTCTTATAAAGATCAAGTGAACATGTGAAAGCTAGGTATATCGTGCAATCATTCTGCTCTTGATTGTCCGTTTAATCTCGACATCGATTTCAATGATTGGGCCACTCTTTTTTGGCATTCTCATATTTTTCCCAAAATCCAAACACCTTACTTTGCAATTGCCGATGAGCCCTTCTTTGGGTTCTTGTCAGCTTCTGGCTAGATACTTAACGTATTTTTATGGCCATTCACCTGCATAGCCCAGTGTTAAGACAGACCAAACATAAGCACCTTCAAACGTGAGCTACCAAAGCATGAATCTAGAATGAAGCTGGTTGTGACTCAATGCCTCATTTATGTCTAAAGCTTTTTTGGTCATTGGCGATGTTTACCTTGCTTTATTTGCCTTGAGATCCTTAAAAACTTTTTTGGAATTAAAAATAATTTTTTACCAAAGAATGTCTGGAAAGCCAGGTTTTCTTTTAAAAAATCTGACTGATTGACATGATGAGTCTTTACAGTGTTGTTGTCACACAATAACTCGTTCACGTTTAAAGCTTTTATAGTCATTGGCGATGTTTACCTTGCTTTATTCGCCATGACATCCTTATAAACTTTGTTGGAAGAGAAAAGAAATGTTTTTTATTAAAGATCTTTTACTTTTCTATATGTTTAACTTCTACTAAGTTGTGCTGGATTGAAGACCAACTCACTGACTTCTCTACTCAATTTTAAATGTTGGGGAGTGGGTGTTGGCAAGTTGAACCTTCAGCAACCTGACTGGATACCCACAAGAATACTAAAAAGACAGGCAATTTAGCACCAAATCATTGCTCAGGCTGTTGTAAATGATAAATCATTGATAACAGTTCTCATAGCCAAGTCAAAAGCTGAATAATTTTGGAAATGCGTAAGAAGCTTAAGCTTGAGAAGACATGTTGATGAGAAAATGCTGTCACCGCTATAACATATACTGATATACCGTAAACGTCCATGTATAAGCCGCACTTTTTTTGACAAAATTGAAGCCAAAAATGAAGGGTGCAGCTTATCCATGGATACATCTGTGTTTGGAGTTCTCAAAAACCTAATTAATATTCATAACCTTCTTAAGTGGTTCCTAAAGGAGCTGTTTGTGTCTAGTCTAGTGTTTATCGGCGAATCTTGCTCTCCAAGAGTTCTTTCAAGCGATTAATTTTTGCTTTACTTGAACAACTAAACGCCAACATACAATGAATCTCTCGATGTTTTTTACTATCCTCATGGCAAATTTGTTGACTGCATTATCAGGCTCCTGCTCTGCATGAAGTTTTTCGCCTATTGCGGGTTTCCAAACATCTTTATATAAGTGGTATCCCCTAACAGTTGAGTCGACGATGGCCAGGCCCTGACCCAGACTCCTCCCAACATTTAAAGCTTGGCTACTAAGCACTTGTTTGTTTTCTTTTCTGTTTCGCATTCTTTAGACTTAATAAATGTGAAAGATAGCCACAACTTCTATGTTGGTGTTTAGAAACCTTGATTGTTTGTAGCAATACAACTCTATTGAAACTTCAGACTGTATTGTTTTCATTTTTTTCCAAATTCTGCGCTTCCAAATCGGGGGTGCAGCTTATCTACGGATGCAGCTTATACATGGACGTTTACAGTATGATGTGGCAGAGTGGACATTAAAACTTCAGATGTACCTGTCACAAACTTAAGAAACTTCTTCAAGTCATCTACAGATAGAGTTATTATGAAAGTCTTTAGCATTTGGTATACACATTCATCACTTCCATCTTGGTTAGATGAATCTTGAAAATGCAGGCAACTGATTACAAAATCATTGGTGAGTTCACCCTGATGTCTGTAAAATTCTTCAAATAATCCTGGATGATGTTCCATCTCTGCCAAAATGCCTAGGGTGGGAAGAACTTTTCTGAACTGATAAAGGATAGACTTTCTTTTTACAAGAATGTCAAGAAGCATTAGTGACTGTAGTACATCTGGCTTATTGTCAGGCTCCAAATGTAAAGGAATTTCGTAGTAAGTTGGAAGATACTCCAAAGTCCAACAAAGTATGATAAACACTTGAACTAGTGCTGGGATGTATGTTTAGATCTACATAGGTAGATAGGTACTATTTTAGTCAAAGGTGATAAGAATACATGAATATCATATGAGGAACAAATTCTTTTTTGTTCTGATTTACATTAAAATTAATATAATATACTAAGGATTACTTACAATAACAACTCTGGTTTCCCCAGCATCGCATATTAGTTGCACAAACTCTGATTCAAATGCAATTGCTGCTAGCTCCCTGTCAAATGCATGTGATCTCTACAAGAAAAGGAGAAAGGAATTTTTGCAGTCATCCTTAAAAAATAAATTCTTAGGGCTGCTGAAAGGACAAGGAAAGTTGAAAAGCAACTTTTATGAAGCAAAACATGAAACTTTGCATAATTTATAAAAGTCTTCATGAAATACTGTAATATAAAAAATGTGACCTCTCACGCGAAAACGTTCCTTACAGTATCTGTTCGAACAGTCGAACGCACGGTATGTGAACGGATGACAAACAGATAGAGAAACCATTTAAAACGGATGCCGTGAACGGCTGAACAGCTTCAGAAAAATTTCGAACGGTTGAAGTCGAACAGCTGAACTGCTAAAGGAAAATTTCGAACCGTTGAAGTCGAACGGCTGAACGGCTAAAGGAAAATTTCGAACCGTTGAAGTCGAACGGTTGAACGGCTAAAGGAAAATTTCGAATGGTTGAAGTCGAACGGCTGAACGGCTTCAGAAAAGTTTCGAACGGTTGAAGTCAAACGGCTGAATGGCTGAAGGAAAATTTTGACCAGCTGAACAACTGAAGTTTTCAACGGATAAGGTCAAAGTAAACGGTTGAACGGCCGATCAAAAACATTCGAACAAAATGACAGTAATTAAGATAAACGCGACAAGCGCCACTTAGATCTGAAAACTGATAGAAAACCTAGAATAAATCTAATCCTGTTTTGAAAATAATAAGTCTTTTGAGAGTAAAGCGAATTCGTTTTCGCGGGGGAGAAACAAAAGCCGGTAATAGTCTGCGTTCTCTTTTAAAATAATTGTCATGCAACCATTTCCAGAATTCGTAATGTAACGCCATTAATTGACTTTATAAACATCTCGTTTCCGAACACAGGCAACGCTTTCCCCACCATGTATCTTCGGAACTAACAGGCACAATTTATGGTGACAATTTTTACGATGTGCCGAGTAATTTTCGCTACCTTGAGTGCAAGCAATTTTTTTAAGTTAACAAAGAAGCGGGTGCCATTATTTTTGTCCGCTGCGTTGATGAGAGTGTGTACAATAAAAGCGAATCAGCGAGGCATGCGAGGCAGACGTGCGAGGCATGAACAAAACATAGTCTTGGACTATAATAATTATATCGCATTTGAAGTTACCAGTAAGTGAAATTATAAGAATCAATGCGCTGCTTATGACGGCTCAATTACAGTGTGAAAAAGTTCGCTCGATTCAAAACTCTCTGCCGTTTGACGCATTCATGGGATATTAACTCACTGAATTCAGTCTGTGCGGCGTGGCGCGGCACGGTAAAGCAACTTGCATGCGAATTTTTTAAATCTTGCGATGCAATGCAATGCAAAAGAAAAACTCAACGTAAAATAGATTACAAGTTTCTTATTGATTCTAGAACAAAGCCGCAAATTTTTCACTTTGCATAATCACTGTTAATTTTCGGTTCAGTGATTCTCATGAAAAATGCGTTGCCCTGGTAACTGCCAGATAACTCGGCTTATATCACAATTGCAAAATGGAGGAATCAACAAGAGTCGAGATGGATTGTAATCAAACGGAAAACAAGGAAAGTATCGCCAACGTGCAAAAATTCATGCAAGATGGGTGCGGATGTCGTCGAGGATTGAAAAGTAGTCAGTGTTCTGATCAACTTACAGAGGAAACCATTCTAGATAATCTATACAACTGCCTGGAACTGTCTCACGTGGAGCTGGAGTTGGTTGTCTTAGCAAACATTCAAGCTTTTACGGCGATTGAAGCAATCGGGGAAAAAAGAAAAAGAAGTCCACCTTACAGCTTCCTTTATCAGTCTCAGCCCATCTGCAAGGAGATGTTTCTGAACCTCTACGGCATCAGCAAATCCCGGTTTCAAAGGCTTGTGAACCATTATCAAAATCATGGTATTTCTCTGCGAATACACGGGAACAGCAAGAGACTACCACATAACGCGCTACCACTGGACGTTGCTGAGGATATCAAAAACTTTCTGAGCAACTATGCAAATGAAAATGCTGTGCTGCTTCCAGGAAGGATCCCTGGTTTTAAAAACGAGGACATTCAGCTACTCTCATCGAGCGACACGAAAATGAATGTATGGAAGTCGTTTAAAAGAGCCTGTGAAGAGTCGAACAAGCAAGCTGTAAGTTACACTAAATTTACCGACTTGTGGAAACAATTTTATCCAAACGTTGTCGTGTCGAAACCGATGACCGACTTATGCTTCACCTGCCAACAAAACACTTCCAAGTTATTTCGAGCAGGCAATCTTCCAGAAGAAGAAAAGTCCGAATGCGTTCAAACACAACAGGAGCATTTGAATTCAGTGAAAGCAGAGAGAGAGCTTTATCGAAAGGTTTGCGAAGGGGTGAAATGCAGTTTTCAGGCCGTCGAGGACCAAATAGACCTTGATGAGCGTCACGAATCGTGCTCACTGACAACTACAATGCACTACTCCTTTGACTTCGTACAACAGGTGCATATACCAAGCAACCCTATGCAACCCGGGCCAATCTACTTTAAAACGCCGCGTAAGTGTGCGATTTTTGGAGTGATGTGCGAGGCGATCCCTCGGCAGGTAAACTACCTGATTGATGAAGCCAGTGACGTCGGTAAAGGAGCAAACACCACCATAAGTTACATGCACCATTACTTCGAACATCATGGACTTGGAGAAACTTCTGTTCATCTTAATGCCGATAATTGTTCAGGCCAAAACAAAAACAATTATTTTATATGGTACTTGGCTTGGAGGACAATACTTCAACTTCATCATTATGTTAGATACTCATTTTTGATTGCTGGACATACGAAGTTTGGTCCTGATCGTTGTTTTGGCATCAAGAAATCATACAAACTGAACTACATATCGTCAGTATATGAATTTGCCAATATGGTAGAGTCATCAAGCACTGGGATCAACAAAGCACAGCTTGCTGGGACACATGATGGAACAGTTATCGTCCTGGTATATAACTGGTCTTCTTTTCTTGAACGGTTCTTTAAAAGGGTACCAAATATCAAGAAATACCACCACTTTCGCTTTTCCAAAGACGAACCCGGTAGAGTTTATTTCAAAGAGCTTCACTCGTCTCCCGAACATTCTTTGATGCTATTGAAAGATCGCGCAGTCCTTCCCCCTGCCTCACAGCTGCCAGCCAAACTGAATCCAGCAGGGTTGAGCCAAGAACCAAAGGAGTATCTATTCCGTGAGATCCACCAGCACCTTAAACTCTTTCTCAGTACACGAGAAGCATTGTATTTCGAGAATCTTCAAGTTTTTATCTTTGCATTAATTTGTATGTATAAGTTTTGAGCTTTGACTCGTAGCACAGAACAGAACAACCTCAGTCGAACAGAATCGAGCAAACTTTTTTTGTAATGAAAGGCACACTAATAATTAAAAACCAAGCGAACAACTAAAGTTACAAAAGCTTTATTCATCAAGCTTAAAAAAAGGCATACATGAAATTGATTACAATGAACGAGGGGGAGTAAAGTCTGTCATTAAAACTTTGCGGGTAGCACGACACTTGGAGTTAATTTTCCCTTTGATATTCCTCCAGGCTTTGTCCTTCTCTTCGCTTTTGCTCACTGGAAATTTACTGAAGACTAATAATTTCAGCGAATTTAATTTGACACTGTCCAGGCATTTTTTGTCATGACTGCCATCAGTATTGCTTTCCGCAAGTTCCTCTTTACTGAAAAAATGTGGCAGCAGCTTCAAGGCACACAAGTGTCGTTCGGTCTCTGGCTTTGATAGGACGCGCTGAATGGTCTTTATTCTGGTCGGTGTAACACATGTGCTGATCAACTCCTCGCCAACTTCTTGGGAAGCGCTTTCTTGTTTTGCGGCAGATTGTACCTCAGTAGGTTGGTCGTCCTCATGAAGTCCACTCAGAGTATCATAATTGATGGTAGTCAGGTATTGGCTCTGTTCTGCTGATTCAGTGTAGTCCTTCACTGGGGTTTCATGGTCTGATTCAGGAATGGATGTGGCATTAAGCTGGTGGGAAAAAAAAAAAAAACGGTTGTTAAAAGCCCGTGGAAAGTTGCGCGTTGAGTTGCTGTTTACGGCCGGGATACGCGTACAAGGGAGAAACTGTGTGTCAATGATCTCGTTCCAAACTAGTCAATTCAAAATTTATCAACATCGTGGGCTGCCACGGCATCTTGAATGCTGACCCACACAGGAAACCCTTAAGCAATTGAATTAGACTTTTTAATCGAGGCGCAAGAAGTGAGTTTGACAATGCGGTATTTTGGAAAGGAGGTGTGACATTTTCCATTTGTCGCTTTTCTTTTGCCGAAGGAATTGAAAACGTTTGTGTGAGGTACTTCTCTTCAGTGAATTGTCTTGTCGCATGGCGATTAGAGTTCCCTATAGTAATGTATGGACGAAAGGTTTTTTCAGTCCAAGGGCGTACAAAGCAGCAACCCTTCCACATTTGCAATTCGATATTCTTGTAAAATAAATTCTTTAGGTAAAAAAGAAACGAGTGTAGCAAGACAAGTTAGAAACTGCTCGCAGGGAACACAAGGAACTATAAATTAATTTGACATATAGAGGCTTACAATAAGAAGGTTTTCCTGCATTTCCATCTGGTTCTTGAGGATCCGAGTGTTGACTGCTTCGATGCTTTCTAATCTGTTCCTTAATTCTCTACACTCCTCCGTTTTGTTGGCAAGCTGCTGGCGCAAGGGAGTGACGAGGTCCTCTTTTCGATGGTCACGGTCAATGCTGCTCGCTTCGGGTTGCTTTACTGTTGGGACTACTGACTGTGTCTTGGCCCTCTTTGCTTTGCGTTCGGTCTTCCACTCCAGACTCCGCTTCTTCTGTGCCGCTAAAAATTGTTCCTAGGGATCTGAAGGACGTTTGGCTTCGCTCTCTGTACTTTGTTCTTCAACGGCCTGAGGCATAAAACATCAAGTCATTAGAGTGAGCTAGATACTTTTAACTTATGGTTTCGTTTGTGCTAAATCTATAGTTGACAAAAATCCGAAAGCAGCTTTTATGAAGGAAGCAATTCTAAACTGTGTTTAACTAAACAGCTTTTAAATGCGTTTAAGCCTTGGTGTGAATGGGGCGTTAGCCATTATTGCCGTGGTCCATTAAGGTACCAGATTGCGCGATGCTAATGAACTATCAATTGTTACAATGACCGGTCAAGCATTACTTGTGAGTATTTCGCACAACTTTATAAAACTATACCTAAAAACTCGCACATTTGAAGTTGGCATGTTTGACTCGAATACTGATTACTATTTTGCTAAAACAACTAAAGAGATTACAATAAAGGCTGTCATAGATAACTGGTGTTGCGAATCGGCTGAGATTTCACAATAATCGGATGTAGTAATTAGTAATAATCGGACCAACCCACACGGTCGATCATCAATTATAGTGTATTACTAAAATTCGCTTAGTAAGAAAAGAAAGGAACTGTTTTGTGAATTTTTGTCAATACATAACTCGCGTCAGACAAAACAGTCGCCTAACGAAGATGCATGTTAAAGTAAGGTTAACAGCTATACTTACATCTTTTGCGCACACCATTTTCTTTTTGGAAGGCTTGATGGCCAGCTCGTTACTTTCCTTCTCTTCGGCGTTCACCGACTCGGGGCTCATAGTAACGGGTAAGTTTTGTGTAGACCATTCTAAATCCTTCCTGTTTAGAACTTTCACGTCATCTACAAGCAAAATTGAATGTCCTTTAATGACGGTGATAATAATAAGAACAATAATAATAATGAATTAGATTTATATAGCGCTAAATACAGAGTGTGTTTCCGAGAGTGTTTCCTTGAGCCAGTAAAAAAAAATCTTCAATATGTACACTCCTTCAATTACCCTGGGTTCCAGGGTTCTTTTTTCTTGCGTTGTTTGGCCGATGAAATACTTGTCCTCGGACGTGGCCGAAGAGACGAGCGGCAAAGCCGCGAGAAAAACAGGTCACTTTGAAGACTCGAAACCGGGAACTGCGCGTGAAAAGCCTCTGACACCCAGGGTATCCAACAATTTGAAGTAGAATGGACTAAGCAAGACTTACCATCTAAAGCCAGGATCTCCGCTTCTACTTTTTCTCCATCCCAATTGACAGTCACCACCATTCCTTCAGTCAAATCCAGTTGTTTTTCGATGATTATTCGAGTTGGTGCGATCCCGGTTTTTTGCTCTTGCCGGAAGTAAAACAACGCATTCGAAGGATGCCTATTCTGTTTGCACAACAGTCTGAGAGACATGATTACTGATCTCAAGTATAAGTAAGTGATAGCACAACTGATAAAAACCGCGAGCTAGACTAGATCGAGTGACAATTGGTCGCTCATTTTATACACTTTCATAGCGTACGGCGGATCGAAATTCTACAGTTTTTATTGAACAAATGGAGAGTAATTGTTTTCAACTTAGCATATGAATAACACACACGCTTTGTGTTTGCATTGGTAATGAGTGGATTGACATCTTGCCGACGGTACGGTGTATTCCCTCAGGAGATTCCATTTTGATTTCAATCAAAAGCGCTTGATATTTGCATACTGTCAAACGTAAAAACATTTTCGGTAAACTAGTTGAATAAACTTGATCTTGAATAAAAAATGTGTATCGATAATCGAATGTTACGTAACTAAAGATGATGGAGGAGTAGAAAAAGAACCGTGACTTTTCATGAAGGCATTTGTAAACAATGCTTATATTTACAAAGTTCGTGTTGAATGTTGTTACTGTTATTCTCCCACGCGATAGTACTGTTGGTTTGGCAAGCATGCTCTAAACAAAGCAAAGTTTAATTCCTTGCACAGGGGAAACACGCTATATTAGGAACCTTCAAGTGTTTTCCAAACTAACTTTAGTCTGTCCGATGTACTCTTGACTGATCGCAGTGCGAAGACTATTAACTTTGACAGGATCACAACCCTTCTGTCAGGCAGTACAGACGACTCAAACAATATCGAGGGCTCAATGAACACAGTCTTTATTCCCGAGCTTGACCACGAGCACTTCGTGTTACAACAACAACAATAATTGGGGAGCCCGGATGTAGTTTCCCTCAGGGAGGGTCTAGGTACAAGTGACGGGCCAACACTTCCAAAGGAATTGTAAGCTACGGTTTCAAAACATATCGCCAGCCGTTTGCCACAAACATCCAGTTCGAACGGCTCACAACTTTTTTGAAACGTATAGCTCCAGCCGTTCGAACAGCTCCCAATTTTTTTTGAACGGATAGCTCAAGCCGTTTGAACGGCTCCAGATTTTTTTGGAACGGATAGCTCCAGCCGTTCGAACGGCTCCCAATTTTTTTTGAACGGATAGCTCAAGCCATTCGAACGGCTCCCAATCTATTTGGAACGGACAGCTCCAGCCGTTCGAACGGCTCGTAATTGTTTTTGAACGGATAGCTCAAGCCGTTCGAACGGCATCCCATCCCGTTCGAACGGCTGATGAACGGCTTACGAACGGCTATCCATTTCAAAACGGCAAACCGTAAGGAACGTTTTCATGTGAGAGGTCACAAATAATACTTTAGATTCAAAATCGTAGAATGTGAGAAAAATCGTAACCAATACAACAGAGACATTTTGCTATTTATCATATTTTGCCACGTTTTTTTCCCAAAAAGATCAATTTATGTACATCAAACAATACGATGATCAATAACCATTTCAAGATAACATTAACACAAGTTAGGGAAACAAAATACAAATTATGTAATCTAAATTATCAAATATGAACTTTTTACTGAATGCAAAAGGACTATTTCAACATTCAGTAGCAAAACTCATCTGATGTATCCTGTCAACACGTAAGAAGTCAATGGGTAACATTCCTTGCATTTTGATTGTTTACCTTTTTTGCATTTTTCTAATTGCAACACAAAGAACACTACTTACAAGGCAAGACAGACTACTTACAATACCTTACTAATACTACTTACTATACAATGCTTCCTTAGACTACAATTCTGACACTACTTTTTACAGTTTGTTTTTCGGTTACACACCAATCTACTTAGCAAATTTCAATGCAAAACGGGTTTCCACTCAGCCTCTATCATCTTCATATTATTATACTTAGCAGCAATGTGACGTTCAGATCTTTTAAACCATTTTGTTTTGCAAGGTTAAAGGACTCTGTGTTACTCAGATCAAATCTCAAGTCACTTAGAAGAACAGTGTTTGCACTATTACAATCAATTTCAAATATAGGTTTACCATTTACTTCAATGTTATGATTGTTCCAGATGGTTGTTTCACGTGGACTTACAAGGTCAAACCTAGAACAAAAATCTGACCACCAATGTAACATCTTATAAAATATTAGGGAAATGTTATTGTCATTAATATTATAATCACAATGAAGAAAATATTCTCCACAAAAATGTTTTAGTAAATGTAATAGATAAGATTTCCAGGGATAAAAATTATAGCTTAAAAATCTTCCGATCCACGAAAGTCGAAGTGACATAATCAAAGATGTAAGATCAGTTACCTTTAAGCCACCAAATTCGAAATCATTTATTAATGCTGTCCTGGCGATTTATCAGGACCCTTCCAAAGAAAATTATTTATGTTTGTTTGAAAAGCCTTTATGAACTTCAAAGGAGAAGGAAGAATTGACAAGATATATAAAACTTTAAGAGGCAATAAATTCTTAATAATTGTGACTTTACCAAACAGGGAGAGGCCTCTCCAACTCCGCAAGCGTATCTGAGATTTGATTCCTTTGAGCTTATCATAGAAATTCTTTTGCACTGATTCGTCATTATTGTAGCAAAAGTGAACCCCTAAAGCTTTTACCATTTTACGCCATTTCAATGCTAGAGGTGTTTCGGTGTTATTATGGGAGGAGCCAATCCACATTGCTTCTGTTTTTCATAACTTACCTTTAGGCCAGAACATTTTTGAATCGATCAAGTAATTTAAAAAGGTATCAAGCAGATCTGATATCCAAAACAAAAGTTGTTAAATCATCTGCATACTGCACCATTTTGAATTCTTTTCAATGTATTTTGATTCCATTAATTTCTGAACACAAGTGAATAGGAACTGCTAATACTTCCACAGCAATGATAAACAAGTAATGGGAAAGGGGGTCTCCCTGCCTTACACCCTGATTTATTTCAAAACTAGCTGAGAGTGTTCTACAGTTGATAATACAACTTGTTATGTTACTGTAAAAGGTTTCTACTCATCTTGTAAAACTAGGTCCAAGTCCAAAGACTTCTAATGGCTTGAACATAAAATTCCATCCCAGACTATTGAAAGCTTTCTCAAAATTTATAAACAGTAGTAATCTAGGAATACCGTAAGTTTTCGTGTAATCCATTACGTCTAGAATTAATCTTGAGGCTTCCCCTATGTAGCGAACTGAAACGTATAAAGCTTGATTGCTATGAATGATTTCCAATAAAACTAACAGTACAATTCACTATAACTTTGGCGTCGACGTAAGTCAAGGAGATTGGCCTCCAATTTTCTAAGTAAGTCCTATCCTTGTCCTGTTTCTCCATAAGAGTAATCACTGCTTGTCTTTGGAATGGGGACATTTTCTTCATCAGAAAAGCTTCATCAAAGGAATCAATCAAAGTATAACTAAGTGACAGCCAAAAGGTGTTATAAAATTCGATGGGTCCCATTGTTGCCTGGCTTTTTACAGTTAGAAAAGTTTTGAGTCTGTTGTGGCACTCTTTTTCAGTTGGTATACCCTCACATATTATTCTTGACTCATATTAAATACGGGGTAAGCTCATCAATTTTTTTGTTGAGGGCATCTATTTCTTTGCAGTTCGCCTTATCTGCAAAAGCACTTTTTATCTCAGTCACATGGTGGTCTAAAAGTGTATAACTATCTTTCAATTTGCTGACATCTTGAGCAGTTTTCATTTGGCTTTTTTCCAAACTCTCTAACTTCAGCAGGATGGTGTTCAACTGTGACTCTTGTTTGTCCTTAGCTGAGCAAGTTGTCCATCTTTGCAAGTATTGCAACCAACTTTGCTTCAGTGTCTGACATCTCGGCTCACTACTTTGCTTTCGATGTTATCAATCTAGCAGACATTCACTTGTCAACAATTAATATACATGATTATCTTAGCTATGTATGTAAGAAGCGCCTTGTTACTTAAAAAATGTACAAGATGCCCTGGATAAGGAAGCTTGCAAGTCCCCAGTTGTTAAGTACCAGTAAACAGCTGGTGACATGTAAGGAAACCCAGGTCCACCCTGCACTAGACTGTGGGCAATCATTTTCCCTAAAGCTTCAAAGAAACCATTGACGGCAAGCCCATTGCCAAACACTGGTACTTTTCTGTATGCCTCTCCAGTGAATATATGTTGTATACCTTCATTGATTGCCAGTACTAAAAAGACTTCACTAAACACTTGTCTCAGTACACCCTCTGTGTCAACAGCTGGTTGGCCTTTGACAATTCCAGATATTGGAGCCAAAACATTAAAATCAGCAGTCTTTTAGTATGAGTACACATCTGTGACTTGATCTTGAGGGTCTACTTTCAACTTCTCTCTCGTCCCTCTTGGAAGCGTTTTTTTCTCAGTCCCTTAAGAATGGCTGCCTGTCAGGATCGAGAATTGTCTGTCAACGACCATTTTGGTGAATTGCTCATATTTCGCTCAAAGATACCCTTTGATAAACTATTTCAAAAAATCATGTTGTTAAGTTTCAGTGATTCTTAAATTTTCATAAGTTTGTGAAGATCTGGAAACACGGTTTTCAGGCTTCCGGAGCTTTGGCTCCGCATGGCACAGTCAAAAACTAACTTTAAAAACCATGCCCCGTTTAAGGATAAAATTGAAATCAATCAACACCAAACTTCACATCATACTAGGACAGCTATTCTCGTTCAATTCTAGTGAGTAAATTGTTTTGGGCACATTGATTTTGGGATTACTTAAGCCCTTGAAAGAACATCCTCACAGACCGCGTAAAATGGCAGCGAAAAACAGGTGATATTTCACGCGAAAAAAATGTACCTGGCACCACATATTTTAGATTTTCAACATATTCGTGAAACATTGCTATTTTCCATTCACTGTGAAAAGTTTGATGCTTGGAATCGCATTGCTTCCCTTCGAAAATGGCAGAAGTGTTTGTGACTTGAGCGAGCAAAGTGATGCAAAGTATGTAAACAAACAGGGTAATTCAATCATATTGAGTTGTTAAATCTCCAAATTAAATCCAGTCTCTGCTGTGTTGGCTTGTAGCTTGGAAAATGTAAAGTGACAAG